GTGGAGGAAAAGGAGGAGGGATGTGGGTGGAGAAAGACTAGACTAGTGTTTAGCTATTCTAACGGCGAAGACTGTTGTTGTCGGCTGGTTCTAGCCGGCTGGCTCCGGGAGAGGAAACAGCGGGGAGAGCTAGATTTACTGCAGCTGCCGCTACTGTTCCTTATTTGCTAGTGAAGATTCTGATATAAGACACCCGCCACCTTTTTCTCTAGCCACATGAATTTTGCAGTAATCACATTAGACACTCCATAAAGAATACTATTAAATACTGAAATCAGAGGTTAAATTCCTGTTTATAGTTCTCTTTACTAGTTTTCAGTCCTTTAGTTTTGATCAAATTCCGGCTTGTTTCCTTGAGACCCTGAAGGAAAAGATTGGTGGCAGATGGTGCCTCTGGGGCACTTAAAAGATTTTTGTTTGACCTGCCATCTAGAAAAAACAATGTTGCTCCTTATGTGTTTTGTTTGTTGTTGTTGTTGTTTTTGCCTGATGTACATATACACAAGTAAAATCAGAGATTTGGGATTGGTCGGACCTGGGTAACTTTGTTGGGGGGAGTTGTTTTCATTAAACCCTGTTCCTGTGCCTTCCTGGTATCATCATGTTCTCTCACAACTTACTTTAAAAAAATACTTCTTGCTGCTATTGTATTCTAACCAGCTAATCTGATTAACTGAAATGGCATTTCAAACACAGCCAGATATAATTAATTCTAACATCACTGTTGGTTGTACTTTGGGGGGCAGGATAGAATCCCCTGAAAAGCTTTAAAAAATATTGCTCCCATACCAAGGGACCACTGTACCTATTAAAACTCATTTACTCCTTGTGATAGTTCAGTGAAGTAGGTAACTCTCCTCCCTTTTACAGGTTACTAGATGAAGATACTGGGAGGTTAAATTACTTCAGAAGATCATATAGGTGGTAGAACCAGAAATTCAATCCAGGCAGTCTGATTCTAGAAGTTATCACCTTAGGTTCTGTAACAGCTCTTAAAAGACTCTTAGTACCCTGAAGAAAGTCAGCAAGAAAAAAAAAAAAAAAGGAAGAAAAAAAAAAAACAGACAAGTGATGAAATTATATTGGCAGCAGATTAAAAGCACTGAATAGAAGCTATTGGCTGGAGTGACTGAGAAGGGAATGTGACCTGAAAGAAGGTAAACAGGTTAGGACAGGTAAAGTACTTGGTTCTTAGATCCAGACATCTGGCTTTAACTATTTTTGGAAGCTTTCCAATTGATTCTAATATATATATAAGAATAAGAGCAAAAAATCTGGAAGTGTTTTGGGTTAGGTAAAGAGTGGACTTTATGTTCATCTCAAATTCATCACTCATAGAGTTGTTCTCACTCTCAGAGACATACAATTAATATTAATTATTTGTATTATTACCACACATGTACACTTTGTATAATTTCTTCTCTATTGATAAGACTATTTTGCTATCAACTTGGATAATAATAGTCAATAATTATTGAGCAATTATGTTGTATGTTATGTTTGAGTTATTTCCTTAATCTTGTAATTTAATAAAGTAGTACTAATGAAATCCTGATTTTTGCTGATGAGAAAACTTAGATTTATGGAAGTTAAACAAAAATCCCATGCTGCTAAAAAGTTAAACCTGAATTTCTAATCAAATTTATCTGACGTGAGGTTTATTGTGCTCCCCAAGGGATTCAGTTGATCTTAAAGCCTTCTGAAGAATATTAATTCACTGGTTAAATATGAGTGATACATGATTAAGGCAAGACAAGCTACTTAAAGTATTTTTGAACACATGTTGCTATCCAAAGGACATAAAAACCATTCTTCTCTAAACATATCAACCATGAAGCCCCAAAGATTATAACTGAATTTATGTATAGCCTTTCTTGACTTTGGTATCCCAGTATGAAAATGGTGGAAATAATTTTCTCCCTGGTTATTTTATACAAAAAAAAATGTGAAGTGTGAAATGATTATTATTTATGTAAATATTGTATCAATATAATGATAATGACACACAGTTTTAATCACATCATTGACTTTTTAAAATAGTCCTTTTTAAGGCTAGGGTTGTGGCTCAGTGGTAGAGCATTTGCCCCACGTATATATAAAATAAAGGTCCACTGACAACTAAAAATTTTTTAGTATTTCTTTTTATGTCCCTTATTAACATATGTCAAAAACAATGTATAAGCTGGGTATAGTGGCACATGCCTGTAACTCCAGTGACTGGGGAGGCTGAGGCAGGAGGATCTGGAGTTCAAAACCAGCTTCATCAACTTGGTGAGCCCCTAAGCAATTTAGTGAGACCTTGTCTTCAATGAAACAAAAAAGGGCTGGGATGTGACTCAGTGGTGATGTGCCCCTGGTACCAGAAAACAAAACAAAACAAAACAAAAGCAATGTATATATAATAGGAATAATTTCAGTGTGGCATTACAACCAATGATACAACTTTTTTTTTCCCCCCCCCAGAACTGGGAATTGAATCCAGGGGCATGGTTACCACTGAACTAAATCCCATCCCTTTTTATTTCTTACTTTGAGACAGGGACTCACTATTGCCACGCTGGCCTTGTGGTTCTCCTTCCTCAGCCTCCTGAGTTGCTGGAATTACAGGCATGTGTCATCATGCCCAGGTAATAATAGCATTTTTAAAAGGGCAGATGGCAAATAAATTAATAGTGTAATGTTCCCTATTCATAGTTTTAACATTAAAAACCACTTTTTCTGGAGGGTACATTGTTACCATGAAGTGGATTCCATTATGTGGGACTGAAGGAACAAACTTAAGTATTATTGGTCCTCTGTGCAACGTTTGTCCTGTGTTATCTTTTGCTAGATTTTCATAGTGTTAATCTCCCTGTGATCAAGCTTTACTTGATCACAACTATTGGTCTATGTCCTAGGAGGCTGAATAGAAAGAGTGGAAATCAATAATGTTGTATTTCTTTAGACTTTATCCTCTTTTGAAGGTATGTCATATACCACATTTGTTTTTCTAAACCTGTCCTCTGTGAGGATAGGCACTATTCTTCTTGGTTACTCTCAGTGGTATCACATATAGTAACAACAGTAAACTCTCATAATAGCTCTTGCTTTGTTTCAGACACTAAGTAGCGTATATGGCTAATTCTTCTGTCTCCAAGAATTCAACAAATGTGGATTGAAATATTTGAAAAGAAATTGTGTCAGTACCAAACATGTACTGGCATTTTCGTATCATTTCCTTAAATGATCCAGTGTGACAACTATTTACATGGCATTTATATTGTTAGGTATTATAAGCAATCCAGAGATAACGAAGTATGCGGGGATATGCCTACATTGTATGCAAATTTTACTTGCAAATTTACATTTGGGACTCATCCTAATTTTGATATCCAAGAAGGGTCCTGGAGCCAGTCTCCTATTGGTTGAGAAAGAACTATGCATTATTAAATGAATTGACTCATTTATTCCTTGCGAAACCTAAGTGTAGTAGGTATCCATTTTTTTCTCACTTTTATAAGTTAACAGATGAAGTTTCTTTAGAAGATCACATAGGTAGTATAAACAGAAATCCAATCTAGGCAGTCTGATTCCAGAAGTCATCACTCTAGGTTATTCAGCCGCTCCTCAAGGGCTTTTAGTTTCCTGAGAGAAATGAGCAACAAGCAAACAAACAAACAAAAAACCCCAAGACAGGTGATGAAATTATATTGGCAATGGATTGGGAAAGGAATGTGAACAGAAGTTATTGGCTGAGTTGACTGAAAAGGAGATGTGACCTGCAAAAAAGGCAGATCAGTTAGGACATTACTGTAGCTCGCATCTGGGCTGATTATTTGGAAATTAATCTTTCATGGATAGAAGGGAGGTCATCTGTCTTTTTTTTTTTTTTTGGTACGGGGATTGAACTGAGCGTCACTTAACCACTGAGCCACATCTCCAGCCCTTTCTTTTATTTTACTTACAGACAAGGGTCTTGCTGAATTGCTTAGGTCCTTGCTGAGTTGCTGAAGCTGGTTTTAGATCCTCCCTGCCTCAGCCTCCCGAGCTGCTGGGATTACAGATATGCGCCACTAAATCCGACTCATCCACCACTCTGTATTTTATTTGAGGTCTAGAAAAATTAGGTAGTCAAACATTTATAATTTTATTCTGCTTTGGACTATGATTTTACTTCATTTTCATAGTTTTAGAATTTACAGAATGTTCTTAAATATTTCATCTCATTTCGTTCTCATCAGAACCCTGAAATGCACTTTTATCTTTTTATAACGAAGGCTGAGGGAAAGTTAGGTAATCAACTTGACCAAGGTTTACGCTGGTTTCTAAGTGGTAGAGCTGGCTCTGTCTGCCCTGGTAGATATCTTTTAACCTGCTAAACACAGTATTTATGGTGTCGCTTTATGTGCCTCCATATACAATGACTGTGTGTGTACGCGGATATGGACCCTCTAGGTGCCCATCATCTTTGTCCCCAAATCTTCGCCTTCTGGAGGGGGCGACAGCGGTGGGGGGTGGGGGCGGCAGGCGGCGGGCGCCGAGGTTGGGATGTGGGGACCAGACACTGCGCACAAGAAGCTGGTGGGCTCGCGCCAGGGTTCCCGTGGATGGCTGAAGCCTGAGCAAGAATGCGAGGGCGGGTTGGGCGTACAACGGAAGGGACTAATCTCGCGGTTTCGAGCTGGGAACCAACCTCGCCCCCCACCCGTTTCCCTTCTCAGCGAGAACGGTTTTGGGGCGGGTGGGAAAGCGCGTCCTCGGAGCGCTCTCGTGCTCCCTTCTCCTTCGCAGCGCGCGCACTCCATAGCTTTTCGGCTGCCCTGGAGGACCGCGATGGCTGCGAGCGCCGTCGCGGAGAGGGGAGGGAGAGTCGCGACGCAGGTGTCAGATCCGCTCGGCCCAGTTAGCTCGCTGGCCCGCCCCTCCTGCGGGCCGCCGCCCCCCGCCCGCCGAGCCGCAGCGCCAGGAGGGCGGGGCTGGGCGCGCGCCGGTCCTCTGTTCGCGGGCGGGGGGCGCGCGGCGCCTCGGTCTAGGGGAGCGCGGGGCGGCCTCCGCCGGCGTCGCGCGCGCTGTGTGTGTAAGCGGGGTCGCGCGCGCGCGAGCGACAAGCGAGTGAGGGAGCGAGGAGCGGCTGGGTGTGAGCGTGTGGGAGTGTGAGTGTGGGAGTGGGGGGTGAGGGAGAGGCTGACCCACCGCTAGGCCGTGAGAAAGTGGGCGAGGGTGCGAGGACGCCCGGCCAGGCTGCGGGAGCCGCGGTCGGCGGAGGAGAAAGGAGGCGGCTCCCGGCATCCCTCCCCCTCCCCCTCCTCTCCTCGACCGACTTCCAGCCGGACCCGCGGCCCGCGCTTCCTCGGAGGCCCCAGCCGGGTCCAGCTGGTCCTGAGCGAAGGAGGAGCCGCCAAGCCAGGTGAGCGGCACGGTCGCCTCCCGGCTCGCGGTGGGGGCGTGAAGCGGGGCGCGGCCTCGCGGGCGAGCGGCCGTGGACGGGAGGACTCCTAGAGCGGGGGCTCGGCCGGGAGAGGGGTCGGCACCACGCGCGCGGGGCCCGGGGTCGCGGAGTCCGGTGGTAGCTGCGGTGCCAGTCGGTGGAGAGCGGGGCAGTACTCGGTGGTCGCCTACGTGCGGGGAGGGGTCGACAGTGCGGGGTGCTGGAGACTGGGATAACTGACGGAGGGAGGCGGCGACCTCGGCGTGAAAGAAGTATGGTTTCCCCTGTCGGCGAAGGGGTGTGGTAACCCTGGGAATGCTTGCTGTAAAAACCTGCGGGTTGCTAACCAGTCCTCGGGCGTGTGGTAACCGCCCATGCATCCCTGAATTCCGTAGCGTGACCCCAGCAGCTGGATAGCGTGCCACACACCCTGCAGTTACTATGTTCCTCCTAACGTGTGAATTTGAGATTGTCAGTCGTTTCCCGTTTTCCTTTGACAGCCCTCTGAATAAGAAGAGGATGATCAAATAATTACTTGTCTTGATTTTCTTTTAGAGCATTTGACTATGATATAAATACTCCCTCAAAACCAAGCCAAACAGAATATAACTTTAGTCTTACTTATTTATCTCCGATCCCAGATTTGTAATCCCAATATTTTGTGAATAGAGATAGGGCACTAATTCTGCTTTGAATGGGGGTTCTACTAACAACGGTGCTGAGTTTATCTTAAGTGTAATTTTTCTTTTTCAGTGTGCTGTTATTTCACCATTGCATGTATTTTTACCCCACGTCATTGTGGTGTTTGGCTACATTCTAAATCTGTAAGGAAAGTGCAGAGGTAGTTTATTTTAATATACAAGATTTTCTGTCCACTTGTGTGTTTATTGGTGGGCATTCTTATTAACTGTAACCATTAAAATTTAAATGTTGCTCAAATGCCTTTTTTTCCCCTTTCACAATATTGAATAGCTTAAATGTGATTTCTTCTCTTTTAAAGTGATTTCTTAAAAACAATGAATTGGCAAAAGGTACTTATTTGGAATAAAACTTTGAAATTCCAGTCATGTAGGTTCAACATTGTTTTTTTCTCCTTCCATATTTTTATTGATGAATTATAGTTGTATTAATGACGGGATTTATTTTTACATACTCATACATGCACACGATATGACAGTATAATTTGTCGACATTTATTTTATAGGTAATCCTCTACTTTTAAAATAGTTGAATTTATTTTAAGAGTTATTTGGTTAGTATGTTAAAGGGGAGAACTATTTTTGTTTTGAGGTAATCTTACATTTCTATCTTTGATAATATATTTTCTTTTTTAATGTCATTAATTTAGTTGTTGGTTTGGCAACATGGCCTCCCCCCCCCCCCCCAATCTTTTCTCTATTTCCCTTCTTTTTCTTTCTTGTCTTCTCTTACTGTTTCCAGGTATTGGAGTTGCTTGGCGGGGGGTGCAGTCTAATTCTGAGAACAGAGCCAAGAAGGGGAACAGCAAATTCAGTCACATGCAAGCCTCCCCTCATTTTTTTCAACATCCACTTTTCCTGCTTTGCCCCCTTGCAGTGGGTAAGAGGCTGAGTATCTAACCTGTAGCTCATTAGCTATCAGCTAAGATTCCAGTTGTCTTGGTTATAGTGTTTTTTAAAAATTTTCTTTGATTTCCCCATTGAACATACTCACATTAGTAATAGCATATGGTAGTGGAGGGGAGAGTGACAACAAGAAATTGTCCCTATTTTTTCTTTCCTCTCATTCAGTCTCCTTTTACTCTCCAGGGGGAAATTATACCAGCAAAATCTTAGAAACCTTCTATCCCTTCTCTGCCATATTGTAAAGAAACCCACTGAAGTGGATAGTCTTATTTTCTCTGACCAGTGTATATGAACCGTGCCTTGGGCATTAGTTTGTTGGGGCACATAGAAAAACATACATTTTAAAATATCCCCCAATTTCTCCTTTCCCCAGTTTGTATCCACCTGGTGCTTGCTGCTGGGGCAAGTAATTACATTTATTCTCAAAGTTCCCTCCCTTGAACTGAGTAACTGATGGACCACGAACATTGGTAGAAACTGAGGGAAAGGGACAGAGCACAGCCAGTTGTTCCACACTTTGTGAAGGAGTAGTTTTTACCATCTTTATAGAGACACAGACAGTGAAAACGGGTATAGGAAGAACTTTTGTGCCTACAAACAACAAGTGAAGAGAAAACCAAACATAAAGTAAAGAGGATGAGTTTTTTGTATGTTGCTTGACAACTGTTTGGGGGCATTTTAATGATGTAGATGCACAGACTTTTATGGAAGATGAGTTTACAAGGAATATTTTGCCAGCATATGAGAAAAAGTCTTTAGAAAATATAATAGTTTTATTTTAAATTTTGAGGGAGAAGATTGTGCAAGGAACAATAAAATAGGTATTATTTTCAAATGTAAGATGTGTTGAGGTGCAATTTTCTCAAGAGAGGTTGAGTGTTGTGGATGTTGGGGAAATAGTCGTTTATTATTTGGAATTTTCCTGCTTGTCATTAAGGATTATTAAGAAATAACATAGTGCCTCAGGATTTGTACATAACATTTTAGATACATGTACCATAGGTATCTGTGCATGTTTTAGGTTTGCAGAAAAGGTCTTTCTAGCTTCATAGTATATTCACTAATGCCATAGTGATGTATTTAAGTTTTCTTTTCTTCTCAGTTGTCTTGGAGGAGAAAAGTCACAGAGCTAGTCTTTTCAATTCCCTTAGAGGCTGGTCTACACAGAACCCATCTGCTTATCTTTTTTTTTCAAAATTAACGAAATTGTGTTTTTTGTTTTTACCCCTAAATTTAACTGTTAACAAAGTTATTTATTTCAGGATGAGTTGTATGATGATAATGGAAAGTAATATTAGACTTGCTTTTCTTTCTTTTTTTTAAGAGAAACAAATTATGAATTTTGACAGCTACATTTAGATCTTACCGCAGTATACATTTGCCTGGTGCTTAACATTAAAAATACCTGTTGATATTTGATGCTATACGATTTGATACAGCCAACTGTTAAAAATAACTCAAAATAACTGTGGTCTTTAGCTTGTCAGTCTGTTATATATCATGTTCTTTGCTGACCATTGGATAACAGCAGAGAATAACACTGATGTATGTTTTGTCTTGGTGGACTTTTGCAATCTATTTCTCATTGATCGTATACTTTTTTATCTGTCATTCAGTTTTTCCAGCAGTGTCTGGAGAAGTCTGCAGTTCTCATGAAATGTATACCAATTTGTCAGTTGAGTTGGCAAAACAAAAAGTTGTTTAAATTCCTTATTAATTTTACTACTTTCCCCCCTCCAAATAAGTGATATGTCACTAAATTGTGACCAAAAAAATGTAAAACTTCACATTTGTTAAATGTTTTCACTCTGTATTCATCTCCTTACATTCCATTTCTTCTTTCTTTTCCTTCTAATACTATCTTCATTTTTTTAAAAAAATATTTTTTTTCAGTTGTTGATTGACCTTTATTTTTATTTATTTATATGTGGTGCTGAGAATTGAATCCCAGTGCCTCACATGTGCTAGACAAGTGCTCTACCATTGAGCTACAACTACAGCCTACTATCTTCATTTTTTTTGGTACCTAGGATTGAACCTGAGGTGCTTAACCATTAGCTGCATTCTGAGCCATTTTTATTTTTTGTTTTGAGACAGGGTCTTGTTAAATTCCTGAGGCTGGCTTTGAGGAAATCCTCCTGCCTCAAACTCCCACGCTGGGGTTATAGGCATGCATCACCTCACCCAGTTAGCTTCATGTTCTTAAAAATAAGGTTTCAAATACAACATGGAATTGCAATATAAGATCAGATGACTTCTTTCTTACTACTCTGCTTTCATTTGGGGTGACATTAGAGTTTTGGTACTTTATTAGAAAGCTGCATCATGAAAATTGCTGTAGATTTGTCCAAGTAGCAACCTTGAAGTTCTTCCCTTGATGCTTTGGAGTGATCAGTTGTTAGCCAACTCCTTTAACATGTGATTTAGTTAGCCATGCCTTGGGCTTGTGAAAATGAGTAGATTGCTAACTTCTTTTTTAGAAATATAGTAATGACTGGAAAGAAAGTTTGAAGGTCTAATACATCATGTTAAATGTGAGGAACTTTGATCTGTACTGTGCATTTTATCTTGTAACATTTTTCAAATTTTACACCATGTTTCAGATATACTTTTATGTATTTTTCTTGCAGGGGGTGGGGAGGTACCATGGATTGAATTTAGGAGCACTTGATGACTGGGCTTCATCCCCAGCCCTATTTTGTATTTTATTTAGAGATAGGGTGTCAAGAGTTGCTTAGCACCTCGCCATTGCTGAGGCTGGCTTTGAATTTGAGATCCTTTTGCCTCAGCCTCCCAAGCCGCTGGGATTACAGGTGTGCGCTACCACACCTGGCTACTTTTATGTATTTTCCTCTTGAGTGAAATCATTAGAAATTTTATTTTGATTCAAGACCCCCCCATCTTTAAGTTTAGAATGTTTTGAATATTATAGATAATCTGGGGAATTCAATAACTAAGCTCTAGATAATTAAGTAAAAGTTAACATTTTTCTGACTGTAGCTGAAAATGTGCAAAATTTAGCAGTTAACTTACATGTTTTTTTTTTCTTTTACACTTTTCTTTATTGTGATAAAGTACTCATAAAATTTACCATTTTAACCATTTTTAGGTATAAAGTTCAGTGACATTAAACACATTTATATTGTTGTACAACCATCCCCATCTATTCCAGAACTCTTATCTTGTATAACTGAAATTCTACCCATGAAAAAATTCCCCATTTCCCTTAATCCCCAGCCTCTGGTCACTACCGTTCTATTTTCCATATGTGACTTTTTTTTTTTTTTTTTTGTACCAGGGATTGAACCCAAGGGTGCTTAACCATTGCAATATAAGATCAGATGACCATTGAGCCACATCCCCGGCCCTTTTTAT